TTGGTAAGTTTTGTAGAGAATGTCAATTGACATTTTGGGGGGGATTATACTGAATCTTCAGGTTGTTTTGGGTAGTATAGACACTTTAATCATATTGATTCTTCTAATTCATGAAAATAAAATAGCTTTCTACTTTTTGGTGAGCTCTTCAATTTTTCTCATTAGTATTTTATAATTTTTATTGTGGAGATCTTTCATCACTTCGGTTAACTTATTCTTAAGTACTTTTTCATAGCTATTGTAATTGGATTGCTTTTTTGATTTCTATTTCAGATAAACCACTATTGTCGTATAGCACTGCTACTGATTTTTGTATGTTCATTTCTTTTATCTTGCAACACTGCCAAATCTGTTTATTAGTATTAATACTTTTTCATGGAGTTTTGTGAGTTTTCCATATGTAAGATCATGTCATCTACAACAGTAACAATTTAAAGTATTTTATTTATTTATTTGTTCTAATTAGTTATTCATGAGAGCAGAATGCATTTTGATTCATTGTATACAAAGGGAGTACAGCATTTCATTTCTCTAGTAGTATACAATATAGAGTTACAATTTAAATTCTTTACCAATTTGTATAGCATTACGTTTTTCTCTTGCCTAATTACTCTAGCAGCTCCAGCCTATGTTGAATAAAAGTGGTAAAAGTAGGCATCCTTGTCTTGTTCCAGATGTTAGAACACTTTCAGCTTTTCTCTATTCACTGTAATATTGGCTGTTGTGGCCTTTTTTATATTGAGGTATTCTTTCTGTATGTAACTGTTTAGTGTTTTTATCATGAAGGGATGTTGAATTTTATCCAATGCTTGTTTTTGCATGTTTTGAGATAATTTTATGGTTTTCATTCTTTATTCCATTGATGTGATATATCCCATTTACTGATTTGCTTATATTGAATCATCCTTGCATTCCTGGCATAAATCCCACTTGATCATTGTGAATAATCTTCTTAAAGTGCTATTGAATTTGGTTTGCTAATATTCAGCTTGGAATTTTTGTATCTGTGTTAATAAAAGTATTTACCTATCGGGTTTCATTTGCTTGTTTGATTTTTACTGGGGTTGTGTTCTTATCTGGTTTTGGAATCAGGATAATGCTGTTCTTGTAGAGTGTGTTGGAAAGATTTCCTTCCACTTCTATTTCCTGGAATAACTTAAGGGGAACTGTTGTTAATGCTTCCTTAGATGTTTTGTAGAACTTAGCAGTGAAGTCATCTGGTCCTGGGTTTTTGTTCAGTAGAAAAGTTTTGTTGTTGTTATTGTTTATAGTGCCATTCAAGGCTATACACATGAGCTACACTCCAAACCCAGATTCAATATCGTTCTCACTACTTGTTATTGGTCTTTTCAGGTTTTTCATTTCTTCATAATTCAATTTGGTACAGTATATGTATCTAAGAGTATGCCCATTTCTTCTAGTTTATCAAGTTTTTTTGGCATATAGTTGTTTGTAATCATGTCTGATCATCCTTCATATTTCTGTGATGTTGGTTATAGTGACTTGCTGATTTTCTGGGTTTTTTAAATTTTATTTTTTTTATATTCTGATTTTTTTAGAGAATTTTTATATTGATGTTGACAATTAAATTTAATTTATGGTTTTCTTTTCTTATAGTATCCTTGTTCAATGTTGGCAGCAATGTAAGACAACCCACGGATGAGTTACATAGCTTTTATTTTCTTTCTAGAATCTAGAGTGGTTTTTATAACAGATAATCCTACCTGTTCTTTTAAGATTTGGACATGATTGCCTAGAAAACCATTTAGGCTTGTTGAATTTAATTTTAAGAATTTTTTTTGTCTACTGATTCAATAAATTTAATGGTTATTGGAGTATTCAGCTCTTTTTTTTTCTTTTGACTTAATTTATAAAGTATCTGTTTCCACACAGAACCTGTTTCATAGAAAATCTGTTTGTTTTCAAAATTATCTGCACAAAGAAACATACAGAATCTTTTAGGGGGAACTAGAAATATTCTGTGTCTTATTTCTGAAGGTTGATTGACAGATATATACATTTATTAAATTTATCAATTGTTTTATAAAGAAATTTTATATTAAAATTATATTTCATTATGTTTATAAACATCTGCAGAAAACTATACATATTAATTTTTATTTTTCTCAAAATACTCTTCTGTGTCTTTGTTAGGGGAGGCTATCTCTCTTTTTTTCTTCACAAATTTTGTTAAAAGACTTGTCCATTTTATTATCTTCTAAATAATTAGCTCTCAGAGATTTACCCTTTGCTTTTTTGATCCTTCTGCCACAAGTATTTCTTGCAGTATTTCTGTCACCAACACCACCATTTTACGTGGGTAAATGGGAACACAAAAGAGGTTATTTGACTACAGAAGGTTACAACATTTGGAGCAGAAGCCAGAAATGAATGGTTTTTCCTATTTCAGTGAGTCCAGTGCACCTAGTATGTCAGGCCTAGTAGCTATTGGAGGCTTTCTTCTGTGCAAATTGATTAGTTGAAATATCATTCAGTGTCTTTGTGAACTCCTCTCCAAGTATTTGAGGAGGATTTTACTGGCAATGTGGGTGTTCATTACCCTTTAGGACTTGGACCTTGTCGTTTTGTAGTCAGAGCCATAGTGCTGGTTCTTGAGACATGAACTTTCCTTAACTGACAAACTGATGAAAATGGGCAGCAATATCTGAAAACAGAATGGCATCATTTACCTGCTAAATCTTTAGTATATTTTACTGTCTTGGATTCATATGCTAGTTTTCCCAACTACATACATTTGATTATTTAACACAATTTATACTTTTTCTCTTGTTAAATAAAACAAAACATAACTACTCTTGGATTTGAGAGAGCTAATTATACTTAATTGTTAAATGTAAAAAGCTTGACTACTTTTTATTTTTTTCTAATAATTGAATGTATTTCATAAGCAAGTATTATGAGATTGACTAATGATGCAGTGCTTGTATCTTAATATCAAATATAATCTGAGGAAATAATATTTCTATTAAAAGTATATTCAGGAATGCCCATTGTTAGTTGTCTTGGTGTTTATTCAGGATAATCAGGTACATGCAACAAGTGGATCAAAAATGTTGACAAACATCATCCCCTCTGCATGTAGAATAATTAGGTATTTTTGAAAACTTTAACGGAAAATGTATGTTGTGGGTAGAACTTGGTTTCTTACAAAGTCTTAGGTGTCTAATGGGAAATCTGTTGTGTTTGTATGGAATAGTGCTAGACATCAGCAACAAATTTATTTAACTGGAGTTTGGCTTAAACCACTTGGAATTGAAAAAAAAATAGGGTGGCATAAACTAGAATAATCCTTACCCTGCTACTTGTGCATCTTTTAAAAAATGTATTTGGAGTATCTATTTTGTCATTGTTTTGTTGTAACAGTTGGAATCTAAAGACAAAAAATCATTTTGTGGTTTGCTAAGCCTGCCATAACAAAGTACCACAGATTTAGTGGTTTAAAAAGCAGAAATATATTTTCTCACAGTTCTGGAGGCCAGAAGTCTGAGATAAAAGTGTCAACATGGTTGAATCTTACAAGACCCTCCTTTTTGGCTTATAGAGGGCATCTTTTCCTTCAATCTAAAAATGGTTTATTAGTCAAGATTCTCCAGAATCAACAGAATGTGTGCATGTGGTGTTGGTCGTGGGGGGTATACATATATATGAGGAGGGAAGGAGAGAATGACAGGCAGACTTATTTTAATGATTGGTTCACAGGATTGTAGAGGCTCTGAAAGTCCAAAATCTGTAGGATAGAGACTCCAGGAAGAATTGTAGCTGAGTCCAAAGGGAGGCTGCTGGTGGACTTTCTCCTTTGATAGGAGGAGGTGAGCCTTTGTTCAGGCCTTCAGCTGACTGCATGAGGCTTACTCACATTGTGAGGATGATCTACTTTACCCAAAGTCTACTGATTTTAAAAAAAAATTTTTTTTAGTTGTCAACAGGCCTTTATTTTTTATTCATTTATATGTGGTACTGAGAATTGAACCCAGTGCCTCATACATGCTAGACAAGCACTGTGCCACTGAGCCACAACCCCAGCCCAAGTCTACTGATTTAAATGTTGATTTTATCCAAAAACATCTTCAGGAAAACATCCAGAATAATATTTGACCAATTATCTGGGCATCAAAGCCTATGTAATTTGCTACATTAAATTAATTTTCACCTATCTGTACCTTTCCATGTCCAAATTCCCCCTTCTTATAAGAACACTAGTCATCGTGGGTTAGAATACTCCCTAATTGCCTCATTTTAATTTCAGATCATATTTCTAAATATAGTCACATTTTGAAGTACTGGGAGTTAGAACTTCAACAAATTAATTTGGGGGACAATTCTACCCATTATGACCATTAATGAGCATAAATAGAAGGCAATTTAAAGGAAAAAATAATCTTCCTATTATTGGATGTTAAACATATCTTTATGAATCCTCAGATAAACCAGTTAACTAGAATGGAAGCAAATTTTTTAAAACATCTATTCACATTTCTATAAACTTGAAGTCAATTTTATTTTTCTTTGCAAAGGATATCTACATTATCCTACTAATTAGAGATTAGGTTTAGAAAAGAACATTTTTTTATATTCTGGTTATTTCTGGATTTTTACCAGCTTTCAGTTTGTACTTTTTATTTCAAATTAGAATGCACTATATACAATGTTTTTATCTTGAGTTATGAACTAATTTGAAGTCACTGCTAAAAACAGATTTTCTGCATTTTTTTACAATGTTAAGAAATAAACAATGGAAAATTTCCAATGAAAATGAAGGGTAAAATTAACAAGAGAATAGACAGTGAGGGCAAATTAGAAACTACATCATCATGGTTCTCTCCTATTATAAGTGAAATCTTGTAACTTTATCACTTGTCTTTTTTTTTTTTAATCAGTATCTTTGTCTTACATCTCCAAAACCCATTTAACAAAAGGGTCAAATGTCTCTGTATCCCTGATACTGAATAAAACCCTTCTGCTTTATTCTTGTTTTGCAGATAACAAAGAGCTATTCCTTTCCAAAGCAATTCACAAGTCTTTCATAGAGGTTAATGAAGAAGGCTCAGAAGCTGCCGCTGCCTCAGGTACAAAGCTGTTTTCCAAAATCTTCTTGCCTTCCCTATACTCATATATTTAAAATAATCTTGGATGGGGGTGGGGATCATTTTCAGAACCTAGCCAAAAAACTGATTTTTGTCCTAAGTTAGGAGTCAAGCAAATGCTGAACCAGCCAGAATTTTCTAAATAGGATGTAAAGCAAGTTCTCAGTCCACTGGCCCTTTGCACTATAAATCCATCTTTGTTTTTTTCCTAATTAAAATCAGGACACCTGGCAGCTCTGGTAGAATGATTTTCCTACAGTTCTGCCTTTTAAAATATTTTAAATATTTTCCTGATGCCTATTTAAACATTTTTCTTCCTTCCTAATTACTTTCGAAACTTCACTATTAATTTTGTCAGTGAAAAGTTTGGATTTTTTAGAAGCACATTCATTTGCAAGAGTGTACCATAGATGTAATAAATAATTTTAAGTGCTATTAACTAATAATACTAATAACGCAATAGTTTCCAATACATAATTTTTTAATCAACATAAATAACATCCAAATTACAATGGTAAATGTCATTGATCATTTTGATGGTTCTAACTTTCCTAGTTAACTGAGAACTTTTCACTCCTGGTTGTATGTTTGTTTTGCAGCACATTATTTCTAACTTCACCAGTCATAACAGTGTTTTAAAGAGGATGTAGAAACACTAGTCTTGGGCATCAGAAATCTTGCATAATCTAATCTGGACTTTCTTTTTTTCTGCTAACTAACCACACTGCAGCAACCATCCTAGAAGGAAGGGGAATTTAGCATCCCACCTTAGAAAGCACCATTGCTTGTTTTGCTGCTGCACTTTCACCTTAATCTCTGACAGCCCTCCCTCCTACTAGGACTCTAGAGATTTGCTCTGTCAATAGACCCAATTCAAACAGAAGAAAGTGACTGGAAAACATAAACTGTCTTTGTTTTTTTGTCACGAGGATTTTTCTTTCTTCTCCCCCTTCCCTTCACTGAAAGGATGTTTTGATAAAAGCACAAATATTTATCTTAGGCTGAAAATAGAACTTTTGTAACAGGCAGAATAACTAGTCCTATTATTTTTGATGGGGTGGAAGGAGGGAATGGTGTGATTTGTTTTGTTTTGTTTTAATCAAGTAGAAATGTTAATACTTTTATAATTTTTCTCTCTTAAAGTCTTTAAAATCTTGTTTTCTGTAAATTGTTGCCTTTGCATTAGATGGATAGACATAGGTGGTTTTGAGAAATTATTCATTAATCTCTGCACATCTATGGACATGTAATTAATTTCTTTCTGCACTGTAGGAATGATTGCAATTAGTAGGATGGCGGTGCTGTATCCTCAAGTTATTGTGGACCATCCATTTTTCTTTCTTATCAGAAACAGGAGAACTGGTAAGTCTGTTATGAGAAGACAACTTTATCCAATAGGGCACAAAGAAACTTTCTTTTTTAAATGGAAGGCTGCCCCTTCCATCCACAGTAGAATTTATTAGATAATGTCTAATGGTCAAATGATTTTTCAAAAAGTGAAAATAATTTGTATTTGTATTTCTTAAAACATTGATAATTGTAAGCAAGAAGGAAAATAGCACATTCTTCTATTCACCCTTTTTTGTTGTTGTTGTTCACTTCCAAACGAACACAGGTACAATCTTATTCATGGGACGAGTCCTGCATCCTGAAACAATGAACCCAAGTGCACATGATTTTGAGGAACTTTAAATGACTCCATTTGAGTAACAAGGAAAACTGCAACAAAGCACATTATGTTTGCAACTGATCTATATTTAGGATTTGTGTTTTACAGTGTATCTTAAGATAATGTTAAAAATAGCTCCAGATAGAAACAATATATGTGAATTACAGGTCAACCTGTCAAGGATATTATCAGTATTAAGGTAGTGGTCCTGTTATGTCATTGTGTTTGCTATGCTGTTGTTTAAAATAAAAGTACATATTGAACATGTAAACAGCTGTTTTTCATTTTAAAAGTAGCAGTAGTAGTATATATATACCTGTCAGTTAAATTTGGAAACAATGATATTTCAGTAGAAATTGGAGTATGCAGATACCAATATGAGAATTTGGAAATAGTAATGTTTTGGGGCTTCTAAAGTCTTTCATAATTATGCAGAATCAAAGCACCAAGGTAAATTAGCATTGCAGTATAGAGGGCAGGACAAGGAAATGTAAGCTGAATGTCTGTAAAGCTCCATAACAAAACCTGTTAGAAAAAAATAGGACTATGCAAACCCTTATAGACATTACTGGTTTGTCTATTTACAATGGTATGATGCTTTTTTATCATTATTTTAGAGTGTACTCCTTCCATTTATTAAAAATAAAAAAGGTTTACTGTAAAACAATATGTCATGTGATGCCAGCAGTAATCTCATATATTTTGTGCTTACCCAATCTCTTAACTGCATCAAGAGGCTACATCAACTGATTGACTGCAACATCTAGATTTGTGTAAGTACAATTTCTGATGTTCACATAAAGATGAAGTGCTTCAGGGCTCAGTTCTCAGAACATACCCCTGATGTTAAGTGACATGACTACACTAGTGATTTAGATATGGCTAACTTATAGAAAATTAACTCAGTCAGTGAAGTATACTGAATCAGCACTTCTCAAACATCAATGTGTAATGTAGTGAACTGGGGATCTTCTTACAAATGCAGATTCTCATTCAGTTATTGTCGGGTGGGGACTGATTGCATACTTCTAACAGATTCCCAAGTGAAGCCTTTACTGTTTGTCCATGGACTTTACTGTTTTTCACTTCCATAACAAAACTCTGCTTAACGTAAGTTTTGCATGTTTAATATTTTCATACATGGAAACAGAAAGACTACAATTTCATAGAGCTTGGAAATATTCAGGGAGAGGTGGAGTGGTAATCTGCATTAATAATGTAATTCATTTGTCCAAGGAAAGGAAAAATGGTTTTTACTCTAAAGTGTCTTTTCTATTACATGCTATGAACAAAAGCAAAATTCCTCTGCATATTAGAACACTTGAAATATGTTCTTTAAAAATATGGAGACATTTATAGGTAATACCCATGAAAGAATTTATGAATACCCAAGGACATAACACTTAACACTGAATCTTTTACAGCTTATATTTTGAGAGGACTTATAGTTTATTCATAAATCTTCAGTTATTGTAGAATAGTTGCTCTTGTTTTCATTTATTATTTATAAAGCCTGGCCTAACTGATGTTGATTCAGTATTGGAATTCTGAGTTTGTAATATTCTTCACTACCATATTGCTACTTGTTAATCATTATGTACATTACTGTATCTGTTCATCTGTCAACTAAATGCATTACCTATAAAGGAAGAATAAACATCATTAGACACCATGTATTTCATAAAGCCCAAATGCGTTTTTTGTTAGCTGGTATAAGATTAAGTTCTCCCATTCAGAATGTTTGTTTTTAAATATTTTAATACAATTTAGGTGTCATTTAAATGAAAATAGATTGTCCCTTGTTTTGAGGTTGCTTATGGAATGCAATAATATCTGACAGTACAACGTTTTCCTTTGTCTTTATTTTTTTAAAATAATTTCAACATTGTCCTTTCCCTGGAAAAAGTAGCACTGTATAGTTCCATTTCCTTTAAAAAGAATAAATTATTACATAAACATACACACAGAACATGCACCAAAGCTTTTTGCTCTTTGAACCAATTTTTTGGAGGAAATCAACAATAATTATGTTTTTTACTTTTATTTGAAATCCTAATTTTACTTTTTTTTAATCTATGCATTAGTGTGGACTGAATAATTATATAGAGTGTAATGTATAAATCTTTATACCACCACCAGAAACAAATAATGGTTAGCGTCACTTTTACAGAAATATTTATTTAAGCATAAGAAAAACAAAATTGCTTCATAAAAATAAAGAAAATATGGTAAAGAACATATTTCACTCTCATTAAATATGTATATTTTACATAATTCACTGATATACTATATAATCAACTTCTTAAATGTGTAATGATATCTATTTTTGTTATTTGAGTAACTTTTTTTTTTTTTAAGATAGAATAGCCTAGGGTATTTTGCTTATTTGCCAAACATAACTTGAAATGTATCTTGGTGAAATGTGGGTCTTTATTGTAATCTTGAGAAAATAAGATGGATGACTATTTGTAATACACAAAATGGTTGGTGAAAAATCTGTAACTTTGCCATCCACATTCTCACAGCCTCCCTACATCACTGTCCATTATGGGAGGAATCTGTTTAAAGACAGGGCACATGATTCTTCAGTTGAATGACTTCATTTTAAGACCACCGAAAGCATGGAATCAATAAAAAATATTCCAACAAGGTTCCAATGTTGCTGTTTCCTTCCAGGAAGCCTAGACTGCCTATTAGTATTTTAATACTTTAAAAAAATTTCACTGCATTAAATTAAAAGCAAAATTTTAAATTTTGACCAAAGCCCATCATTAAAAAGAAATCCTAGACCCAGATGAGCAGAAACCTAAAATAGTTCTAATTCAGTCATTGTTCCGTTGGAAATGGTGTAATAATAGGGGTAGAGGGAGTACTAAGTGTGATGTAGTATCAGGATGGAGAAAGCAAGGCAGCCACAGAAGCAAGAGTAGTGTGTGCAAATCCCAAATCAGCATCCTATAGGTTCTCACTATTTGATATGTGGGCCCAGATGAGAAGGAGCCACTTCTCACCCACCTCCAAATGACATATCTTTAAGAGGATTTAGTTATTGTTCTGCATAGAAACTGAACTAGAAAACCCTCCATTGCATTCTTCTCAGATTATGCATTAGCATGTGTGTTTATGTCTGCCTTTTTCTTTCCCTTTTTTTTAATGCTTGTTCTATTTATTTTTTATTTATTCTTTTTAATTATACATGACACTAGATTCTACTTGACATATTTAGATAAGCATGGAATATATGTTATTCTAGTTAGGATCAATGCTTGTTTTAATAACTTAATGTCTGCACTGATAAATTTTCTCCAGTGTCAAGAAGTAAGGAAAGTCCTTCCACGTCCATTTTATTTACTAGGGAGCAATTTACTCTTCCTCGTGGTGCTTGATGGTATTGATTCAAAAGCTTGAAGAAGCACTCTCCCTTTTTTTCTTGTAGTACTAGGAATTGAACCCAAGATTGCAGCTGCAGCTGGCCTAGACTTTACCGTTTTCCTGCTGGGATTACAGACAAGCTCCATAAGTCCAGGCAAGGAAGAGGCAGCAGATTGATTTTTTTTCAACCAGCCTTGCATTCCTTCATTTATGAACATTCAACCAGGGCTTGCATTCCCAGGGACACCCCACTTTTATGATGTTATTTTTTCTCTCTAGAGATAAAAATAATTTTCATATATTGGTGGATTTAGTGTTTGCTGAGAATTTATACATTTATGTTCAAGGCGGATATCGGTCCCTAGTTTTCTTCTATCTTCATTTGATTTTGGAATAGAGTGAAACTAGTCTCATAGAATGAGTTAGGAAGTGTTTCTTTCTCTTTTATGTTTTTAGATATAGTGTAGAATGAGTTATATTTCTTTCTTAAATGTTTGGCAGAATTTATCAGTGAACCTGGCCTGGGCATGGACTTGTATTTTTAGAACATGTTTAATACTAATTCAATTTCTTTTAATAGTTATAAGGCTACTGAAATTTTATTTCTTCTTGAGTTTGAGTAATTTGTGTTCTATCAGTAAATTAATTCATTTCATCTAAAATTGTTTGATTTAGACACGTAGAATTGCTCTGAATATTTCCTCATATCCTCCAATGCCACCAAGATCATCAATGATGTCCCCTTTATTCAGTCCTGACCCAATGTTGTAATGTGTATCTACCTCTTTTCCTCCTTGGTCAGTCTGATTGGAGGTATATTGGTTTTATTGATCTTTACAACTATAAGCTTTAGATTTCATTATGTTCAACTCCATTCTGCATTCATCTTTTGTTTTTCTGAGTGTTTAGTTTGCTTTGGTTTTTCTGATACATTAAGATGGAAGTTTATATTAATAATTTGAGGCCTTTGCTTATTTTTAAATACAAGTTTGTAATCCTACAAAATTTCTCTCTCAAAGTACTTCACTTATATATACCTCAACCTTTGATGTGTTAGGTTTTCATTTTCATTCATTTAGAAATATTTTCTAATTTATTTCAGAATTCCTTTTTGACCTATGAATGTTTAAAGAAGTATATTGTTTAATTTTCAACTACCTGAGGATTTTCATCTATTTGATTTTTTTAAAGAGAGAGTGAGAGAGAGAGAGAGAGAGAGAGAGAGAGAGAGAGAGAGAGAATTTTTTAATATTTATTTTTTAGTTTTTGGAGGACACAACATCTTTGTTTGTATGTGGTGCTGAGGATCTAACCCAGGCTGTACACATGCCAGGCGAGCGCGCTACCACTTGAGCCACATCCCCAGCCCTGATTTTTAGTTTAATTCAATTTTAGTCAGATAAAACAATTTGTATGGTATTAATTTATTAAATTAGATTTATTAAATTAGATTTATTAAATTAAATTTATTAAAACCCCAGACTATGGTGTATCTTTGTGAATGTTTCATGCATACTTGAAAAGAGTGTGTATTCTCCTACTGTTGGGGGTGTGGGGGATGTTCTATAAACGTTCATTAGGTAAATTGGTTGATTATATCATTCTGCCATATCTTTGCTGATTTTCTGTCTGCTTTATCAGTCACTGAGAAAGAAAGGAGTGTTAAGGGTCCAGCTGTAATTATATTATTTACTATTTTTCCTTTTAGTTCTATTTTTTGTATTGTGTAATTTGAAGCTATGATAGGTATATATGCATTTAGAATTATTAGGTCTTCTTGGAAAATTAACTTTTATTGTTATATTTTTGTTGTTCTTATTCCTGAAATATTTTGCTTACTTCAAATCTAGTTTGATATCAATATAGCATCTTCAGCTTTCCTTTGATTGGCCGTTGCATGGTGTAACTTCTTCCAACCTTTTACTTTTAACCTATCTATGTTATTATATTTAAAGTATGTTTCTTTAGATAACATTTAGTTTACTCTTGTTCTTTTTATCCAATCCAAGGATCTTTATCTTTAATTGGTACATTTAGATCATTTAATAGAATTATTGATATGGTTGGATTCAGGTCTACCATTTTATTATTCATTTTCTGTGTGCCCAGTTTCTTTTTCATTCCTCTACTTTCTCGCTCCTGCCTTTTGGGGGAATATTTGGATTTTTTTCCTACCACTCTATTTCAACATACCTATTTTGACTTTTCTCTATTTTTTTTCTATAGTTTTTAGTAGTTACTCCAGGAATTACAATTTTCATTTTCATTTATTCTAATTAAAATTTCCACCTAGAATTAATATTTTAATACTACATACAAAATGTAGAACCCTTAAAATAATGTTGATTCCCTAATATCCCCACTTGTGCTTTAGTTGTCATCTGTATTACATGTACGTGAATTGGAGAAATCCCATCATCAGACAATAGTTATAATTCTTGCTTTCAGTTGTCCTACACATTTCAAAATATTTAGGAGGAGAGACAGTTTGTTACATTTACCCAAATGTTAACCCTTTGGGTTGCTTTTCCTTTCTTTGTGAAGTTTTCAGTTTCCATCTGCTATCATTTCCCTTTAACCTGAAGAATTTTCTTTACTGTCTTTCTTGACCCAGAACTATTATTGAAAATATCCTTTACTCTATTTTTCATCTGAAAACTCTATTTCACTTTTATTCATTAATGATATTTTCAGTGAACACAGAATTCTGAATTGACCATTCTTTGTCCTCAGAAATTTAAAACTGTTGTTATATTGTCCTGTATCTTCCAGGGTTCCTGGTGAGAATTCAACAGTTATTTAAATTAGTGTACTCTGTATATAAGGTATCATTTGTGTCTAGTTGCTTTCAATATTTTTTTTTCTCTCTCTTTGGTTTTCAATACTTTGATTGTCTTGTAGCTACATGTGGTTTACTTTGAGTTTATCCTCAAAATTAAAGTTTCATAAATCTGTAAATTTGTGTCTGTCAAAAAGTTTAGGAAGTTTTTGCTACTCTTTTTTTCCAAAACAGTTACTGTCTTGATATCTATCTCCTCTCCTGTATGACTGAAATGACATATAATTAGATCTTTTGGTATTGTCTTACAGGTCACTGAGGCTTGTTTATTTTTAAAAACATTTTTTTTGTTTCTGTTGTTCAGATTCCTTAATTACTATTAATTTATGTTCATGCACTGATTTCTTTCCTGTTATCCCCTTTGTACAATTGAGCCCATCTAGTGAATTATTTCAGTAGTATTTTTGAGTGATAAAACTTTCACCTGATTCTTTTTTAAAAAATATTTTTAGTTGTAGATGGACA